ATAAAGGAAATATTATTCCAACTCAGTTGCTTTATTTTGCCAGTAAGCAAGTCAGTTTTTAATACATTGAATAAAATCTGCCTGTTGATAATTTTCTTACAGCAAGGGGTATGGTAACATTTCTATTTTATTTTTTTGTGTTTTCTCCCCCTGTAGCTCTTATCCACTTCAGACACTCCAGAAGATGAAAATGCAGAGTCGCCAAGTATGTGTCATACCTTAGTTACTGCGTTGTAAATACAATCACTCGGTGCTGCTGAAGTTGAAAGTGTATAATAATAATGTACAGTTTCATTATCACTGACAAATGGCAATGACTTTTTAAAGCAGATTAAATTTGAGCATTTCTCAAACCTGATGAGCTTTAAAAAATATACTGCAGATGCCTATCCTTGGCTTCGGGCCTATTGAATTGAGTTAGTATCCAGGGATCCTGTTGTTGTCGTCCGGTGCCATCAAGTTGGTTCCGACCCATAACGACCAAAAGTGAAGCAGAATGAACCGCGGCTAGGTCCTGCTCCATCCTCACACGTGTCCCCACGCTTGAGCCCATTGTTGCCACGGCCGTGTCACTCCATCTTGTTGGGAGCCTTTCTCTGTCTCACTGCCCCTCTGCCTTACCAAGCAGGGCGTCCTTCTCCAGCGACTGGGGCCTCCTGACATGTCCAAAGTATGTAAGGCAGAGTCTTGCCACCCTTGCCTCCAAGGAACAGTCTGGCTGTACTTCTCCTAAGATAGATTTGCTTGTCCTTCTGGCAGTGCATGGTCATTTCCACGTTCCTCTCCAGCACCACGCTTCCAACCCATTGATTCTTTGTCTGTCTTCCTTATTTAATGTCCAACTTTCACCTGCCTGTGAAACCACTGAAAAAACTATGGCATGGGTCAATGTCTAGGGATAGTGTTTGCTCACTGTAGTTGTAACCAGCTGCAGACAGTCGGCCTAGCCCCTCTTTTTGGACTAGTGTTTGAGAACAGATGACCTGTGATAGACTGTTCACACATTCTTTCAATGAGATGGAGAGAGTGGACAGCACCACTCTCATTTTCAAGAGGGAGCGCAAAGCTGAGAGGTGAAACAACTTGTCCATCCTCTGAAATGTGTCGGAACCAGTGTGTGAACTGCTCTGCCGCTCTGTTACCAAGTATCCAGCTTAATTCAATAAGCCTTTACTGCAGATTTGCTGTTGGGGCAACAACAA